CAGACACCTTTCTTCACTCTGAATTTGAGTATAGATGAAGAGTCTTCCACTTAAAAAAATAACTGCACATGCACTTAAAATAAGTGAAGATCAACTTATCCACAATAAATTTCACTTATTTAAAAAAAAAATAAAAAAATTGAAGACGAGGAAGACTTTTTAAAACACAAATAAGTGCATATGCACTTATTCATATTTCCAAGTGCATCAGATATAGAAAATTTATATATACATATATATGTAAATTATTTATACATATATATATAACATTTTATGTATATATATATATATATATATATATATATATATATATGTGTGTGTAAAATATAATAATTTATATATATATAAATATAAATATATATAAACACACGGATGCATAATTCTTTTTGTATATATATATATATATATATGTTATACATATATCGGCATCGACCGGTCGACCGAGATCAATCTCTCGAGGACAAGAAGCAAAAAACTGGCGGTTACTTCTCCGAAGAAGAGATAGATAGAGAGAAAGAGAGATGGTGAGCTATGAAATAAGTGAAGAAAGAGGAAGAGAATGAAGAAAGAAATAGAATAAAGTAGGGATGAGAGAGAGAAAGACAGAGAGGGGGTGGGGAGGAGAAAGAGTGGTCGCAATCCAAGATGAAAGACAAAGAGAATGACAAGGGAATGAGTCAAAAAAAAAGAAAAAAGTGAAAAAAAGAACAAAAAAGGAAAAAAAAATGAAGAAAAAGAAAAATATTCGTACTCCCAACAGATTCCAAGGAGATCCCTTCCCCCCTATATTGCACTGACTGAACTGGTGTCTAGAGAATGTGGATAGGTCATTTAATGGCGATAACCCTTTAACTAAATTGATACTACATTGTTATCACACAATTTTTAATTGACATCGTCATTCTCTTCTTTTCTTGGTTCATTTTGTCACTCGGTGAAGCTATTTTTTTTTTAAGGGGGGCGTCAATTTCGTTTTAAACACCTTTGTTTTTTTCTATAATGTTGTCTTTAACTTTTTTTTCTACCTGTTTTACTATTTATTTTGTTCACTAATTAAAATTTTGGTAATTTTTAAATATTGTTGAATTTGACACTCTGTTTATAATAAAAACCTTCACTATAAGGTCCATCCTTGACTGCATTTTAATTTGTAAAATATTTATAAATTAGAAATAATGGGCCAACCTTGACTATAAGCTCCAACTTTGCCTATATTTTTTTAAATGTTTATTACTTAAAAATTACGGTCCAACCCTGACTATGAGGTCCAACCTTGACTACCTTTTTTAAAAATGTTTATATAATTTAAAAGTAATGGTCCAACCCTGACTGCAAGGTCCAAACTTAATTAAATTTTCTTTTTTTTTAAATGTTTATAACTTAAAAATGTTATAAATTATCATTATAGTCAGGGTCCAACCTTGACTATAAGGTCCAACCTTAACTATAAGGTTCAATTTGAACTACTAAAAAATATTTTTCAAAGAATATCAGAAATGAAAATAATGGTAAAAAATATTTTTCAAAGAATATCAAAAATGAAAAAATTTGTTTACCTAAAAATATAAAAGAAGATCAAAATAGTAACTTTTTAATATTTTACAGTCTAGGTGAGCCGAAAAAATTATTGTAGTGATCCAAGGAGAGAAAAAATTATATTAATCATTTCTAATCAGATATTATAATAATTTTTAATTATACTGCAAATAAATGAACAAAAATTTCAATTTTTCCATAATCATAGATTCTATTAAATGTCAACAAAAATTGTTACCACAGTTATTAATAAATTTACACCAAAAATTAAAAAAGAAGACAAAATTATTATATTGATTAAAACTGAGAATAATTTTCTTATCTATTTTTTAATTTCTTAAACATTAAAAGAAAAAAAAATTCAAAGACAAAAATTCTCATTTACAGAAATTTGTTGTTTTTGTGACGTAGTGCATTATAAGAAGTAGAACATTTCACGATTTTGACGTGAGACATACGTTTATTATCGAACGATAACGATTTTATTGAGTCACAAATCTATCAAATTAACCCCTGCCAATGGAAACGATCTTTTATAATAAAAATACGCAAAGTGGGGTCGTTGCATGACCCCACGTGTTTGTCTATAACTTCAAAATACCAGAAATTTCTATAAGAAAAAAATTTTTCTCTTCATTTGCAGAGAAAATTGATTTATTGATTTTTAAGAACATGAATTGCAACGAAAATACAATTTAAAACTACTTAAAGGCATTAAATTATAATACCTAAAAATAAAATATAATTATAATATATAATAATTATTAAAATATTAATATAATATAATTATATAATATAATCATAAAATAAATTTAGAATTATAATTAAATTATTTAAAAATTATTTCTGTTAATTTCAGAATTTTAAACAGTAATTACATAGTTAAAAACAGTAATTAAGATATTTTAAGAAATAAAAAGAAGGGGGATTATTTAATGGAAGTATTTGCATAATACTTAATTATCAATTTAATTAATTGCAAAAAGAAAATGAAAAGAAAAAATTATTTAATGAAAGTACGAATTGAAAAATATTTCGATTGTTGAAAAAATAAGAAAAAAGTCTGTATACTTTTTTTGATTCAAACAACAACAAAAAATTAAGATTATAAAATTTTGGCAACATAGAAAGAGAAAGATATTGAATAACTTTTAAAAATTAAATATATTTAGGAAAATAGAAATTTTAAAATTAATTATCCCTATTGAAAAACAATTCTAAAAAATTGAGAAGTTTATTCTTTTTTTATAAAATAATTTTTTTTTCTACAGTGCGATTAATTTAAAATAAATTATAACTGTCTTATCAGTTATCGTATCTTTTTCACTTCTCATTTTCATTCATTATGAACTATACATTTTGTGTCTGTAAATACATATTTGCATTCTGTCAACAAAAATATCAATTTTATAACAATATTTTTTAAAATATCGAGAAAAAGGCATAAAAAAAATTATTTTCAAGTAAAAATATATACAAAATATATTCGTAAGAATTGAAAAAAATCTTTAAATTAATTTGAATTGAGAAATTGTTAAATTTTAGTAACAAATTTTTTTTATTAATGAAATGAAGTGAATTCACCTATAATAGCAGAAAATACATTAGTTTCGGGTCCCAGTCGATTTTCTTGAAAGTTTTTGAATTTAAATATAGTTTTCTTCATAGACTTAATACAAACTTAAAATTCAAAATCAACTGGGATCCAAAACTAATGTATTTTCTGTGAGGTCCTTTGAACCAAATGATATTTTTCTTTAAACCAAGTAAACTTTTCTTTAAACCACATGGACTTTTATTTAAGCCAAATAAACTTTTATTTAAACCAAATAAACTTTTATTTAAATTAAATAAACTTTTATTTGAACCAAATAAACTTTTATTTAAATATGGCACAAAGTTTGGTAAAGTATGGCTAATGAGCGAATACCATTGTTTAAGATCTACTGTAGAAAACAAACATTAATTTATTCATTAAATCAACTGAAATAAACACTATAAAACCTTTTATTTTTTTATTTTCAAAGTGTGGGCAAAGTATGGCACACATTGCCAAACATTTCCCATAGTTTAAAAATATGAATTATATCATTTTTCTTCTTTCCATGGTTCGACATTCTTTACCCATAGTTTGAAAAATATAAAAAAAATAGTTTTTTTTTAATTTAAAAAAAAAATTTCTTTTCATGGTTAGACAAACTTTGCCCAAAGTTTGGAAATATGAACAAAAGTAGTTTTTCTTCTCTCCATGGTTCGACATTCTTTGCCCATAGTTTGAAAATATAAGAAAAATAGTTTTTTTAATTAAAAAAGTAATTTTTTCTTTATATGGTTCGACAAACTTTGCCCATAGTTTGGAAATATGAAAAAAGTAGTTTTTCTTCTTTCTATGGATCGACATTGCCCATAGTTTAAAAATATAAGAAAAATAGTTTTTTTTAAATTAGAAAAAAAAATTTTTTCTATAGTTTGACAAACTATGCCCATAGTTTGGAAATATAAACAAAAGTAGTTTTTCTTCTCTCCATGGTTCGACATTCTTTGCGCATATAGTTTGAAAATATAAACAAAAGTAGTTTTTCTTCTTTCCAATGTTCGCTAAACTTTGCCCATTGTTTAAAAATTAAAAGAAAATAGTTTTTCTTCTTTCCATGGTTCGACATTCTTTGCCCATAGTTTGAAAATAATAAACAAAAGTAGTTTTTCTTCTTTCCACAGAACGACATTCTTTGCCCACACTTTAAAAATATAAGAAAAATATTTTTTTTAATTAAAAAAAAAATTTTTTTTTCCATGGTTCGACAAACTTTGCCCATAGTTTGGAAATATAAACAAAAGTAGTTTTTCTTTTTTCCATAGTTCGCCAAACTTTGCCCACAGTTTAAAATTTTGATTGTAAACTTTAAAAATATATAAAAAATCTTTCTTTTTTCTCCCCATACTTTAACATAGTTTGTCCATATATGGTTTAAGGATAGAAAAAATTAAAAAGTTTCGTGTTTATATCAGTTATTTTAATAAAAGATTAATTATCTATTGTCGTCACTCTTTAACCATGGGATTCGCTTATTAGCAATACTTTGCCAAATTTAGTGCCATTTTTTACCCATAGTTTTCCATAGAATGACATTTTTACTCATAGTTTTCCATAGTGTGCCATTTTTACCCATACTTCTATTTTCATGCTGATACTATTCAAAAATAAAAAATTTGTTACCCAGAAGAAAATTGCTCGATAAAATAACCAAAAAATGATAGACAAAAATGGCATCGTCAAATAAAATGGCACTGGTGGTGAAAGATAAACCCATGAACTTCATAGAAAAAATGGCAAAAAAGGAAAGAGAAAAAAAATAAGAGAAAGAAGGAAAGAGAAAGAGTGATAAACAGAGAAAAGAATAAAAGAGTTGTCTCTAAAAAAAAAATTTTTTTGTTTTGAAAACCAAAATTATTGGTAAACTTACGAGGTTGCGCCAAGGCAAAGACGCTTTCCGTTTTAGCGGCAAACTCGTCAATCTCCTCATGATGGGTAATTCCCGGCTCTAGTGGTTGGTCCGCCTGCACTCCATACATGTCCATCAATTTTGATATTGGCGGTATTCTCGGCAATGCCCTACCAGTCATATTTGGCGCTTGTTTCAAGCCCAATTTATTCAAAATTTGCTCCTTTATCGCCTCAAGGCTCAAAGCCCTAATCTCCTCATGCATTCGACAAGCATTACAACCACTACTTGCGTGAACCATTTTCTTGGATAATTTTCCCTCAATATTTGGTGCGTCGAAGGCCCCGAGCAGGACCAGCGAGAGTAGCAGCACCCTCGTGATCATTTTTCCTCAAGCTGTCCACTGTTCCCGGAGAATTGCTTCCTCCTTTTGAACGTGATTTTCCCCAAAAAAAAAAAAAAAAAATTACCGAAAAATGCACCCAAATTTTTTAATCAACGAGCGTCATTCTTATTTTTTCCACTGTTTTCACTTTGCAAAAAAAAGGCACATAAAAAAATAGATTTTTTTCTCACTAAACAAAATTTATCTTCTTTCCTCGAATGTTGAAAATCACAATCCGTTGGGCAGTCTTTCGTTTTACTTGATTTTTTTCTTTCTCTCTCTCAGTCTTTTCTTTCTCGGAATTTTTTTTTTTTTTGAAAAGTGAAATTTGAAAGGTGAATTCCCACCTTTCTTGATTTGCACTCTGGCGAGTCCTTATTCTCAAATAATACATACACACAACAACACAAAATTCCCCTTTTGGTCCACTTTCTACGTGCCTTCCTTTTCTCCCGCTTCCTCTCCTTCCGCTGCTGCTGTTGCTGCTGCTGCTGCTGCTGCACCACCACACACGTTGAATGCAACAAATTTCCGCACCCGCCTTTTGATACACTGAGATACCAGCACGACACCCGATTATTCTTCATTAGCGGTGACAAAAAGGCAAAATCACATCTTCCCGGACACTTTAGGTTTTTTTTAAACAAAAGGGTAGGAGAAAAAATTTTTTTTTCTCTTCTTTAGTGAAAAGTGAAAGAAAGAAGGGAAGAGAGGGAGAAAATAAAAGTGTGAAATTAAAGGAAGATATCGCATTAAATTGAAATATTATGATTATCATGATGATGATGGTAGCGATCGGACCAGTGCGTGCACCAGTCCGTCCACTTTCTGTCAATTATCATCATTTGTTATTTTCGATTGACAATTTCTTTTGTACTATACGAGAAAAATTGATTATTTATTTAATCATAGCATTCTGAATCCAATTCAATTGAGATTGACAATTATTTTAAGGATTTTTGGAAAACATTTGTCGGGGACCACGTTGGGAAACTAAAACACGATTTTTAATTATGATTTTTGAGTCAAAAGTTCTTGTTTTTTTTTTTCGTTTTTGCTTCAGGTTTTTTTATTCGAAAATATTTTGACTTTGAGGACTAAATTTGTGAAATGTGAAACGACGTGCGATTCGTGGTCGCGTGTAAAGTCAGTGTTGCCACCACCAGTATAAGCAGAGAGAGAGATGCTAAGAGCTTGCTGGCCTGTCAAGCACTGAGTCAGGAGGCGCGCGTCCCTCACCGCATATATGTATGTTGAGGAGGAGACCTCCTCCTCTCTTCACTCTTCTGTATCTTACGCATTCGCATGTAGGGACTGACAAGAAGAGAAAGAGAGAAAAAGGAATATGAATGAGAGTATATACACATATACATACCGAATATCGAATATATAGCCCATTTGCGAATGACCAGTATACCAAACGTCAAGGAACTGTGTTTTACGAGGGCCAAATGGCCAGGCGAATCTTTTACCCCCTTTTCCTGTTTGTTTCTGACGCATCAGAGAGACGATGAGCTTCTAATGCAATGCCCACCCAACTTAGGAACAATACATATATCGTATCCTTTTCTTAACTTTCAATCTCTTTCTTTTAATTTTTCAAACTATACTCCAAATCATATATACACTATACTACATCATAAATTTTTTAGAAAATTTATCAACTAATTTTGTTGTCTTCTTTTTTGATTCGATTCTGGACCATCATCATCATATCATGTTCGCAGTATCGAACAACATCGATACTGACATCTACTAATCAAAATTGTACGAGATTTTGTACTAAAACCTACAAAGCCTTTTTATCTTAAAGTTGCACCTCAGAAATGAAGTCATCAATAATTTAATTCTTTGCCCACTGGGCAAAGATATTCTAAGAACATCATAAAATGTAAGGTTGCTATGGTTACTATTTCCATAGTAACAGATGGTATAGTAACCACTACCATAGCAATCGTTGCTATAGCAGTTGCTATGGAAACACTTGCCATGGTAACCATTACCATAGCAACGGTTTTCTAGATCCAGTTTCTATGGTAACCATTCAATTACTTTCACTAAGTGAAAGTGGAATTCAATTTTTCAAAAAAAAACAAAATTTTTTTTTGCTAAACTTCTAAACAAGAATTCAATTATTTTTATAAATAATAAAACTCATATAGAAGAATTTTAATTATTTTTAACACTATTCAAAAAATTAATTTTAATCGAAAAAGTCAATTATTTTCACAAATAAAGTTTTACAGAAGAATTCAATGATTGAAAAGAAAATGTTCATAATATTTATTATTTATTTCGAAAATATTAATTATTTAAAACCATGTTTATAAAATATTGAGAATTTTTTTTTTTTTTTTGAAAATAACACTTTTTTTACAGAAATTCAATTCTTTTTAAACATTTTAATAAAATTTTTCGCAATTATTTAATAATTTTAAATTTTCATAATTATAATAAAATTCGATTCATAGAAATTCAATTATTTTTGAAAATTTTAATTAAATTCTTAGCAACTATTCAATTATTTTCATGTAAATAATAAAATCCATTGCAGGATTTCAATTATTTATAATAAGATTTGGAAAAAATTGTTCAAAAAATGTAGGCTGAATTATTCTTAAAAATTTTATTTCAATTCCTCGAAAAAATACAATAAAAAATGTTTTTTTTTAATTCTTTGGAAGAATTATTTATTAATTATTTACGAAAATATTACAATTTTCGACAGAAATTCAATTCTTTTTAACAATTTGAATAACATTCTTCACAATAATTCAATTACATTTATTAATAATATTTTTTATGAAAATTTAAGTTTTTAAAAAAAATTTTCGAAACAAATTCTAAGCAACTATTCAATTATTTTCATAAATAATAAAATTCATCGCAGGATTTAATTATTTTAAATACAATTTTACAACAATTGCTCAAAAATTCAATTGTATGAAAAAATGAATTATATTTAAGTTCCAAATGTTTTTTTAAAATTCTATGAAGGAATTCAATTATTTACAAAAATATTAGAATTTCTTTTACAGGAATTCAATTAATTTCAAATATTTTAATAAAATTGTTCGAAAGAAATCAATTATTTTAAATACAATTTAAATTCAATTTTTTGAAATAATTCAATTATTCTTCTAGATTTTAATAAAATTCTCCTTAAGAATTCAATTATATAAATAATTGAATTCTTGGAAATTAAATTATTTTAAATAATTCTAATAAAATCGTTCGCAAGATTTCAATTCTTTTAATTAACTTCTTTTTAATTTCAATTCTTTTTAATTCAATTCTTTTCATAAATAATAAAATGCTTTTTAGGAATTCAATTATTTTTGAAAAATAAAATTTAATAAAATGCCACACACACACACACACACACACATTCAATTATTGCTAAAAATTTTAATAAGAATTCATTGTAAAATTTAATTATTTTTAAAAACTTTTCGCAATTCAATGATTTTCAATATCTTCTATTTTCATCAAATTTCTAAACAGAATTCAATTGTTTAAAAAATATTTTTGTAAAAATCATCGTAAGAATTCAATTCTTTTCATGAATAATAAAAGTTTCTCAAGAATTCAATTATTTAAATTCGAATTTTGCATAAAATTAGTCGAAAGAAATGAATTATTTAAAAATTTTCATAAAATTCTTCGCAAGAATTAAATTATTTTTTTATTAACAATTAAATTCTTTCATGAATATTAAAATTCGTTGCAGGAATTCAATTTATTGGCAGGATAAAAAGAAAGTAAATATTTTTGATGAAAATTAGGAAAAACTCGGGAAAATAAACTATTGAATGGAATTTTTTTCAGTTTTGTGAAGTGTCTAAACTGAGTTTGTTTGGTCGGCATGTTTAATTTTTCGATAGCTACTTTTTTACTAGGGGAGTGTGTCCAGTTCTGAGACACCTCCAGTTGTGAGACAGTCATATTTTGTCGAATAAATATTATTATTTAGTTAATATATTTTTTATTAATATATTCAATTATTTCTACTAAACATAACGTTTTATGTCAAACTTTTTAAATTTTAACAATTTTTAATAAGTGTCTCACAACTGGACAGATTTTTTTTTTTTTTTTGACAAATGCGTTGAGCTCGGAAAATTGATCATAACTTTTTTTGAGTCCATCTGAACACTACACTTTCTTTGAATAAAAGTTTTGTATTTGTGTTACTTTTCGAACGGTATATTTTATTTACAATTTCGTTTACTTATTTAAAATTTATGGGTTAAAAACAAAACCCGTCTCATACCTAGACACACTTCCCTACTTTTTTTTTAGTTTGAAAGCTACTTTTTGTTACTTTTTTAAATTAATTAACAAGTGCGAAGTCTGCATAAGCAGATAAGTAACCATATAAGTAACCATATAAGTAACCATATAAGTACCATATAAGTAACCCTTAAGTAATGAAGCCTTAACTTTTTGTAAAGCAAAACGGTAGCTTTGCTACTTTTTCAAAGCTTTGCTATTAACACTTTTCGTTTAGAAGGTCGGTAGTACTGATCACCTAAGGATGGTGCATATATAAAAATCTTCTATTAGACCTATGCAGAATAACTCCTAAGAAGATAAATCCTGAACATTTGTTCTTAGTTCATACAAAAGAAGACCATCATCTCTAGGGTTAGACATACAGTGTCCTGTGGACAAACATAGCGCTGTATGTCCAACCCTAGAGATGTTTTTTTTAAAAAAAAATTCTTTAAAACAATCATTCAATTACAAGAAATTAAAACATGAATGATGAAAAATTGTTGACTGCAAAAATTACACCTAATAGGTATACTTAAATGTATAGTGAGAGCGGGTCATTTTTTTCCACTTCATTCTTTTTTTTCGGTGGATTCTTTAAACATCTTCTCCTATATATGGCGTTTCTCCCCTTATTTCGCGTAATAATAACGTTATGCGTGTCAACGGACTGCACGTCAACAATGCAGTTCTCATTCCTGTTCGAATATAGTTCAATGGCCTTGCATACCTGCCACAGCAATCTTTTGTTTCTTAGAAAATCGTCTCGGCCACGTTCTTATTTCTGACCTTGAAAAATCTCATAGAAATTTGTAAAAAAAATTCCCCATCCAAAATGAAATTAGAAACAATTTTATTGGATATTAATCACAATAGATTGAATGTTCACATAGGATGGTTTTAACTAATGATAATAATCGGTTTGCAAACGAGGTTTGAAAAATAAAGTTGTCACAGTTTTCGAGTTCTGTTTGATATGTGTTCGCTGACACTACCAGCAGCGCCACTGACTGAGCGGAAAGTGGTACAACTCATGAGTGGTGTAAGTTTGTGCCTATTCTATTTGTACCAGTCAGCAGTCACCCTTTACCTATGGTGGAAGATGCAAGATGGAACATTCTGATTCTCAAGTTTATTCAGAAAAAAAAGAATTTGTAATTTATACAATCGAATAATTAGATCTTAGATCATTATTAGACGTCAATATATTTATGACATTCAACAGCCATCCTTCATTCAAGAAAGGAACAATCTAATTTTCAAATACATTTCAAAAAATGTATTTGTAATTTATACAATCGAATAAATAGAAATACTAAATAAATAGTATTGCCATCTTTAAAGTAAAGTGTAAAATCACTTGTCTGTATTTCAATTTTTCAGAAAGTTACAATTAAACGTAAGTTCTAACCTCTTTGAGCAAAAAAATAATTAAATTCTAAGAAGATTAATTCGACTCAAATTATAAGGGATTAAACGAAGAAGGGTACATGTGTGTCTATAATTTGTGCACCCTTTGAAAAATATCCTCTTGCAGAATCGATGAAATCCTTTTAACTTGGCTTCATTTAGCATATAATTTTATAACCATTTGAAGCCAAAAGTATTACAGTATTTTTTCTCCAATTCAATATAGCGAATATGGTTTCAAAAAGTAATTAAAATTTACCGATTTTGTTCTGTAGTTAAAAATACCTCGAAAAATTTTCCAATTAGTTAAAATTTCCAAGTTCTCCATTCTCTATTCAAAGAAATTCAAAAATTATATTAAATAATAATAATTATAAGATTAAAAAAATAATACCAGTATTAAATAATGTTAAAAATATATCTGACGCGTGAAATTTTTTTCCTTATTAGAATAAACAATCTTTTCCTCTAAATTTGGTTTTACAATAATTCAAATTTTTTTTGCAATTTAAAATC